CCTAAGTGGGAACCAGACCTCATGCACTTCCACAAGGACTTGCAGAAAAAAAAAAAAAAAAAAACTAGGGAGAATCGTTCAGACATATGAGAGAAGACTGAGATGAAACATGGTTAAGCTTCCAAACTACTTGAAAGGCTGCTGAGAAAAGGAAAGGAATGAACCTGTCTGTGGGGACAGCAGAAGTCACGAACTCGAGCTGTAGCATGGGATATTTGGTGAAACATGAGGCAGTAATTCTGGATGTCAGATCTCTCTGCAGAGACTCTGGAATTGCTATCATTGCATGCAGTTTTGAAGACTGGATTAGACACATAGCTCAGGAGAGTTTTGATCTCTCAGTCTTTACAACAGATGGGCCAGAAAGTCCCTCCTTAGCCCCATGTTCTGTGATTCTGCTCTGGTGTCACATGTGGCCAAGTGTGCCCTGCTTATGGGGATAAACCAAAAGTTAGACTGAAAATGTATTTCCAAGCTCCTTGCAAGCTAAACCAGAACAGAAATTCCCCCATGGGGCTGTGTGCATTTTATTTTTCAATTTTAACATGCTCCCAAATCATCAAGGTGCTTCAGCGTACCCCCAGTGTAAAGGACTCTATTCATGGAATTGGATTCAGCAGGGTCTGTTCATACAGCATGTGCCTGAGGCCCCATTTTGGAGAAAGTTTTACACGTTCTAGTGTTGGTAAGACAGTGTATGACTAATGCACTGGTTTGAAAAACTGCCCTATTATCTGATCAAAAGTACAAGCTCGTGAATGTGATACCGCAGGTCATTTGGCTAAAAGATACCTGGAGTCTTCCAAATTCTTAAAACAATCCCATACACAGGAGCAAAAAAGAGACATATGAACAGCAGAGCCACTGCTTGCCTATTCATCACCACTCATGTGGAATGTTTTACTAAAGACATTTTTATCAGATGCAAAAAACTCAAACATGGAATATCCTCGGCTAGCAAGAGAAGGTGTGATAATAATTTAGCTTATTATCCCCAAGATCTGTGATTCATACAGTTCAGGAAGGATCAAAACCTCTGAGGTCAGTGGGAAGCATCCAGTTTAGTTCAGGGGACCCTGCTTCTGCTTTCCTATGGGAGTCAGTGAGATTCCCACATGCCTGGGCAAATGTGCTCAGAGTGAGTTTGGAAAAGTTCTCTCATGTCACCTGAGCCACCTCTAAGATGAGGTTGTAATCAAACCAAGCTGTCTTGCCTTGCCTAACCTGCAGGAAGAGGAAGACCCCCAGAGGGCATGGTGGGGAGGGGCTGGCAGTTGGACTAGATAGATGATCGTAGTGATCTTTTCCAACCTTAATGAATCTATGATTCTACCGCCTGGAGACTGAGATTTTTCTTCCTGCTCACCATAGAAACAGCCAAGTTACAAACTCAAACTGAAGATTTTACAAGAAGGTATGTAGTGTTTGTTAAAAGGGATCGCTCTCTTTAATTATCTCTAGACCACCTGGGCAGTAGGCTAGCTTGCTAGAAGTGGAGTTGCATTTCAGAAAATATATTATATGGCTAAGCTATGATTCATCTGCTATTTGTGTGTCTTGTACACATTAGTGAAAACACACTGTTCTTCTCTATTAAAGCACTTACAGATTTTTTTTTCCCTAACAAATAACCCCACCTAACAATATTTATCTTAACAAAGAAGCATTTCTATAAATCTAATGTCTTGAAACCAGTAAATGACCTCAGTGGCTGAGAAGAGTGGTAAAAACTTCTAAAGTCTTTTGACAGGAAGCCCTGGATTTTAAGTAAATAGTCCCTTCTTTTTTTCCTCCTCAAAAACACTTTTTTTCCCAAGGGAGAAAAAAAAAAAGCAAAACATTTCTGCTAAAAAAAATGGAAGCACATCATACAGAAATGCAAACTCTTCATTTAAGACTCCTTTAGGAAAGCCTCTTTTTGGCTGTGAATCCATGACCAGCCTGTCCCCCACCCCAGACAACTGACACCATACATCATATCAAGGGACATCCTATCTTTTAGTCTCACTGAAGAAGCAAGCCCATAGAATGAGTCAGGAGTAGGACATACCCAAACTGTAAATCCTGTATGGCATTGTGGCAACATTTGAAAACCAGAAGTCAGACCTTTCTTGCCAACTTAATTTTAACTTAAGGCTAAATTGTTTATTTCTGTAAAGCAACAAATCACCTGAAGAAGAGTACAAGCACCTTACTAGGGATAAATGGTATGGAGTTAAAGCAAAATTGTCTTCCTATCATTATTCTAGATCTGCGCTCCACAGTATCACTCAACAGGATAAATGAGATCTGAATCAAAGGTTGGAGTATGACTGCATTTCTCTCAAATTACTCAGCATGTGTAGTTTTGTCAGAAGTGTGCTATAGTGATGCTGTTTATTTGCTGTGGATATGCCATTCATATATGATGAATATTATTACATATTCATATTACAGGAGCTTGAATAGTACCTAATCTGGCTTCATTCTTGCTACTATTAAATTAACTGCTCAAAATTGCTGGATAGATTTAAATCAGAGCATAAACTTATCCCAAATCTAGTGTTTTTTGATGCGGTATCACAAGTTCTGAAGCTGCATACCCTACATCATCCATTAAAGATACAATCCAACCACTCACTGTAGGAATTTAGATAAGAGCTGTCTCCAGCATCGTGCTATTTCAGAATCCTCTGTTTACAGAAATTTGTTCCTTTGGAACAAGCACTCCTTCTCACTATCAAGACATAATACTGGTTAAATGGAGTAACTGTTCTCATGAAGCAGTCCTCATGTCTTTAATTCTAGGCTGCCTTTATCTCCAATTCATTGCACATCAGTTAAGGTCCCACCCAGAAAATGTGGTGACAGTGTAAAGAATGAGGGAGGAACTGAGAAGAATTACCCAAAACCCAGAGTGAAGTGCTATGTGCTGTGACTGTCCATTGCATTTGATGTTGACCTGCATGTGTTTACCAGTGCCCTCCTCTTCTGGGTGGACTCTGATCTTATGAGCAATTCAACACTTCTGAAGCATCTGAGCTAAAAGCTCTGAACAATGGTGATAATTATGTGCTATCTTAGCATGGCTTAGACAGAAAAAGACAAGAGCATTCATCGCTACTAAATTCTGTGCATGAATCTGGAACAAAATATTGTTCTTTTTATCTGATGTTATGCAAGGCACAGCCTTTTCCCTCCAGGGTCAGGATCTCAGATACTGTAGCTAAATAGTTACAGGACTGCAGACCTTCTTACCATAAAAAGAAATTATGTGAAGGGCATTTTTAGTGCTCCCAAATTCCCTCTATGGAAGATTTAAGAAGTAACAGAGAGAATCTGCAGATATTAGTGTCACATCTTGTTTTCAAAAGGACTTGTCTTTTTCCCCCTTGCTCCACAGCAGAGCCTTGTTTTTAAGTCCAGAATCTACCTTGCACAGTCTGCATGCTCATGTATGCTGCTCTGTGACAACTGATGGATTATGGACCATCCAGTGCTGGGTGCAAAGGAAGCGTTTTATGAAATGGAAATTACAACTTAAAACTTGCGAATCAATGGAGAACTGACTTTTTTGACCTTTAGTGTCATGGGAATCGTGATGAATTCCAACGTGCACATTCAAATCAAAGTACTAACTCAAGCTGCAATCAATAAGCAATCACACTACTATGAGACAAAGCTGCAGCTGGAGAAATTTCACCCTGAGTCTGTTTTTGGCATTGTCATAGGATCCAGAATTTCCTAAAACTAGGAAAGAAATGAAACTGCTTGGTCTCTTGTGCCCAGAGTTATTGGTTTTGTAAGGGGATCCTGGGGAATTCCTTATGAGGTGTGAAACAGGAGAAGGACATCTCTCCTGGCCCCTTCTGGACTTGATACCAAGTCCTTGGTGGGGAAATCATAGCTCTGAGACATTCCAAATGGGTCAGTACAAGGATACACCTGTCACACTCTCTGAAAGATGGCCAGTAGTAGATGCTTAAAAAAAAAAAAGAAGAGTGCAATAAATAAAATATATCAAGAGCAATCTCTTCTTTGGTTATATTCTACCAGCAGCCAGAATTGGAGGGACTTCCTGAATCAGAGCTGTGTCCAGACCATCACAATTAGCATCCTCCGGGAGTCTCTTTGTGATCAACTGAGGGCAAAAAATAATTGTGATTGCCATGGTTGTTACTGCCAGCTCAGACAACAACTCACAGAGCAGACATAAGGGCTCTCCCATTTAATTTCCTTCTCTTGTGTTTTCTTTTAGCACCACCACGTTGCCTTCCTATATCAGGATAACCAATGGCTATATCACAGTCAAACCTCCCATTTGGATTTCCAACCGGCTGGATCAGAGGCCACGCTCAGATCACCCATCCCAGCCTCAGCCTACAAGCTCAGCTTCAGCCACCATTTTATGGCCATCAGTGACTGCTCCTCTCTACGTGGCCATAGCTTCATTCCTCCTGAATCTACTGCAGCCTTCCTGACCACATTAGTATTATGTGCAATCCCTTGGAATAGAGAAGAGAGATAATTTATGAACGAATTGGATGTTTTGACAACATTTACAGACTGGACCTTCTCAGTGAATCAAGAGTGCCTTCTAGCTGATTTCGTCTCTTTGCCCAGATACATTTTGAAACTCTAAAGCTTTATTGTAACACTGACTTACATCTTCTTTTTGTAGAAGGATCTTTATTTCCCATAGTGCTATGGGGTTTTGTAAAATATTCATGTTCATATAAAGAAAAAAAGAAAAAATGTATTTATTCGACTGGTAAACTTATTTTTTTCCTTGTTGTATATGTCAATAACATCCCTAGTAATCAGTAGCGATGGTGAAACAGATAAATTAATATTTTCTATATTTGTTTTCTAACTGACAACTCTGCAAATGCCTGAAGTGGCACTGAAATGAATGGCTTGTTTCTTGAACCGTAACTTCTTACAGCATTCAATCCAATAAGTACATTTGTACTCTATTTCACTTTTTCTAAAGTTCTCATTAGAATTACTTAGACTAAATAAAGCAGATCCCCTTCTCTGTGGCCTATGCCCAATAGAGGGGTAAGTGCATTCTCAAGTCAGCTGCTACAACCTAAAATCTCAGTTATTTTATATGACTTAGTAAGTCACTAGTCAAAATAACCCTCCAAGTTCCCCAGTTGTCTTTAACTCAACCATTCAACTTCTCTAGAAATTACCAGTCTCCCTCTTTACCTTAATCTTAAGGCATCTTTTTCTTAATAAAAGCTTTCCTTTTAAGTCTGAAATAATCCCACTGGAATTATTCTCTCCCTCTTTTTACATAAATGAGCCTACAACCTTTCCCAACATAAATGAGAGCAGGACTTGGTCTGTCCTGAATATGAAGATGCAGTATCGTGCTAACCTGTAGAACTGCTTTATTAATTTAATTGATAAAAAGATAGTCAACCTGCAGGGAGGGGAGGAAATGTCTAGAAATCATCGGCACCTTGCTATTATGCTTAGAGTTGGAATTCTCATATTGAATTATAATCTGCCCACAATCTATTCAAAGCTACAGGAACCAAAGTAATTCCTCTGTCATGCAAAATCTTTCCTCTGTTTGTAGACTGTGCCCATCTAAGTCAATAGAAGGATTAAGTTCTGACAACTTGCACTCAGTGAAAAATTCACCCTATCTCCAAGCAGCTACTTTTTATTAATCAGATGAACATCATCTATGGGGAAAATATACATCCATCTTAATAACAGCCATGCTTAGTAAGGCATGTTGATTTCCTCCCCCCCAAAAAAAAACAGGATGGAAAAAAAGACTTTCAATTCAAAGAGTCCTAACAGATTTTTTTCCCTCCTGAAGTCACCTGCAATACAAAAATCTGAGATGTCATGAAAACATCTTAAAGAAAACCTGAAAATAAAAAAAAGGAAAAAAACACATCTATGAAAAAGCATTGCTTTTTCACCTTAAAAACCATATCAGATAATGACAGCAATCACAAGAACACTGACAAAAATCTGACTGTTACTGGGCCAGCAGCAGCACCACCTTCAGAACATGGAGACAATTCCATGTCATCTTTAGGTCTCCTGAGTGGAAGATAGTTCAGGATTCACAGTTCATTTGTCATCAGACTAATAAGTCAGGGAAGAAGCTTAGGAAATAATCAGCCTGAAATAAGTACGTGGTTTTACTTGGAACCATGATAAACACTGAGCTTTTCCACAATGCATCCCAACCCATTGCTTTGCCAAGGCAAGGGAGAACACATTACTTTCATTTGACTTACTGCACCATGACTTCCAGCTCTTGCTTTAGTTTGGAGAAAAGCATGTGTACATTTGTGATTGACTTACATGGGTACAGCAGACAGTCATGTAAGCTGCCCCTGTTTTATAAAGCACAATAGTTGATAAGGCTGAACAGAAAACTTCAAGCTTTGCCCCAAATATGAGTTTCAAGCACACCCTGTGCATACTTCTGTGTTGTGTATTTTGGCTAGCAGAAGATTAGAGATGTTAGCTTTGGACAGAAGCCATTCACCTTGCATAATATTTATTGCACTGAGTTGGATATTGGAAACATATTTTGAGAACTTTCATTTCAGTTTTATTTGTCTATTTCCCCCAAAATGGCTTCATTTGAATATAATGGCTTAACAGGCCTTCAAATTCAACCTTAACACATTTTAAAAGACTGGTTCTCCTGCCATATTCAAAACAGAGTTCAGAACTGAATGACAGGGCGTTAGTCACAAAAATTGAGCTGCAAATAAGGTAGGCAAATCTTAAGGGTTATGATAAGTTACACAGTAAAAGTGAACAGCCAAGGAATCAAAGCCCATTCAATTTTATTTGCTGTAATCTGATCAAGTCCAGAAATGATTCTGCAGTACCATCCCAGAAATAATTCCCAGTGTCAGAGAGCTTACAGAATTAATAGATAAGACCATGTAAAGATCAGAGAGAAAAATATGGAGCAAAAAAAACAGAAAAAGCAGGGCCAGGACTATAAGGAAAACCACCAATAGGATAAAGACTGGAACCTACAGTTCCACTGTACCCAACCTGTGGTTTTCTCTGTAGGACTCTGAGGTCTTTTTTTTTTTCTAGTATAATGAGCACACATCACAGATGTCACTGCACTACACAGAATAATCACTCAGTTTGTCACTAATAAATATTTCCTGAGTCACTCCTCCATTGGACAGTAATAGTAATACTAGATACTAGCTCATATCACAGCATGTTTGGATATCACAGTACGTAAATAGCTTGGACATCAAAGCATGTTGTGACATATTTACATTTCTTGGCATTTTGCCTGTAATCTCTGTGAAATGAAGGAACGTTGCTGGAGGTCACCACATATCACTTATCCTTCTGCCCAGTCATCCTGCAGTGCAGGTTGTCCAAGCAAGGTATCTGCTGGGCTCATAGCCAGCACCCTTCTGCCAGCTCACAGCATCCAGCTCACACCATCTCCCCTGGCTAGGGAAGAAGAAACCACTTGCAGTAAGTTTAAGAGAAGATGCTTCTCACAGATGCTAGCTCAGGAACCCCAGGTGAATGGCTTCAGTGTAGTTTGCTGACCAAGTATTTTTTATTTTCTTGTCTTCCCTAAGCTATGACTTAGGGTAACTTTTTTTTTTTTAATCCTTGGCGTGTAAGGATTGCAATACTAGAAAATGAGACCCTCACTGTGATTAATAAAACAGGTTATTTATTAATCAGCTACAGTAGCTCAGTATTAAAATACATCACTATTGGTGTATCAGCACAGATCTATGCACATCCGTCGCATTGGATCATGATTTTATTCCATGTCAGTTTATAGTGTATGTCAGATTTGATGTATGTTCTGGAAGTAACACTGACTACCAGCTTCATTTTTATTCAGTGGATTTCTCAGAGGTGAGAATCCAACTGCTTTGTCTCTTTTAAAGAAAACTCAGATTTCCAATGACAAATTCCCAGGAGAAAGGGACTTAAAAATAAATATATCCACACTGTGTAAGACAGGAAATACCAGTGATAGTATTTACTCATAAGAAACAATCAAGAGTCATTCAATGTCTAGCAAACAGGTATACAGTTTTCCACTGTTGGATCCAAAGTTAATGTTTGCATGATTCACCCTATCAACTCAGCTGCAACTGACACTACTACAATTCACAGTATGTGTAGTGGTAATATTAGAATGGAATGTTGTTTTCTACCAAGCTACTGTCCCAGTAAATATACCATACCACCAGCAACAGGTCTAACTTCCACTCTGTAATTGTTCTAATGTTTCTCTTGCCAATGTTTAACTATAGATGCTGTATTAACATGCATTGCCACTTGAAGAACCAGTCAGTAAGCTGGGACAGAAGGTATGTTGTATTTTATGACTGATGCAGTTTCTCTGCAATCCCTTGGGCTGTTGAATAATGCAATACTTCTTCCGGAAAAAAAATGATTAAGTGATTTATGATAACTATGTTTTATACAGGTGTCAAAAATCTACTTTTTGAACTTCCCATTCCTCCAATCTCCAGCATAATTTAGGAACACCCAAGGTACAGAGCTGTATGTTTGTCTAAGTTCTTTAATGTACAACTGAGGAGAGATAGAGGGAAAGAGCACTATGCTCAATGCATTGATTAGTAAAATGCTAAATCCCAATCAGTCCTTACATATACCACCATTAGAGAGGAGTTTCCCATCACACCTTTATGTCAGAGAAACCAAAGTGCCATAGAAGTTATCACAGCTATCACTCCTAACTTTGCTTAGTACCACAAGATATTTCTATTTTATATCCAAAAAGCATAGGGGCTTGTTATAGCTCCAGAGTGATCAACGTACCACAGAGCGTGCAACATTTCAGCTTCAGCCTGTTTTGGCTTAATTGGAGCAGAAAGCCAGTTTCCTAAGTTTGAGCTCGTGGGCTTGAGTGTCTGCACGTGTGTTTGTGGGTGCACGTGTGTGCTTTGTCCCAGCCTAAATGCAGGCTTTCCTGCCCTTTAGGAGGCACCTTAATCTAGCTACAGCAAGATCTTGCCAAGCAGTAATCCACACTTCTCATTTACAGGAATGATTAACTGCCCTGCAGATTCATGCTTACACTGAATTTTAAATTGCATGTTTGTCAGTTTTTGATTCAAATGTATTTCAAATATTTTTTCCTGTTCCGCCTCCTGCTTTTGTGAACTGTTTTGAAGAGTGTAATAAAAAGATGCTTTCTAATATTATTTTGTCAAAATATTTTTGTAGCATAATATATTAATAAAATATTATAAATCCGTAGCACAAGAATCTTGTATATCTAAGTTCTTTCTACTGCATAAAGCTATGGAAGCACTGAAAAAAAAAATGGGAACATCCCATTTTAAGAGTTTTTCAATACCAACACCGGATGGAGAAATTGTACTCTGGGGAAGGATCCTTTTAAAATAATGTGGTTTTGTTACATTCATTTGAGCAAAGATGTGGAGAATCTCACCGCTACCTTTCTGTATGTGAAGAAATTGCTTCACCTGGTGTGCAAGGAATCATTCTGAAGCAGCCTCAGCCTCTGGTCCTTGTCACCTGGGAGAAACACTTGGTTAACCTCACTGCATGTCTAGATGGGAGCTGGAAAAATGCTCTGCATGGTCCATAAAGGACCTGCGAGCCCTGTTTCCCTCTTCTATGTCAAGGTTTGGGGCAGTGTTGGCATTGCTGTCACTGGCAGTTAGAAGCCCAGCCAAGATGCAGAGATTCCCTGATGGCATATCCCTCTTTCTGTTCCCTGCATCCTGCCTTGCAGGCTTTTTGCTGATCACAGAATTATTGTTTGGTTCTTAATTACTTGAAAAATCATTTGCTCTTTAACACACTGTAATTCAGAGAATCCCACCAGCAAAGCTGTTTTAGAAACATCTACCTTAGGAAATACAACGTGAGGCACAGGCACTTGAGATAGTTAGAACTGAACTAACCACAGCACAGGAAGGGATTGCCATTGAGTAAAAAGGGCAATCTACAGAACAAGATATAAAAGACCCACCTCTTGAAATACCAGGCAATGCCCATCCCACTTCTCCCAACCAATTCCTATGGCCCAGCCACAGCCCTGACAATACCCCATTGCACACTGCCAGCTAGTCCTGGCCCCAATCCATCCCCTCCTGCAGATCTTTTCACTCTGAAGCATCCTGCTCAGCCACAGGCCCAAACCCAATCCAACCCTTCAGTCAGCACAACCAGATACCAGCTCAGCAGTGACTTTTGCTTAAGCTTCTCCTTACCCTGACCTCTCTCTGTACTCCCAGACTGTAACTGTAGCTTTTTCCTCTAACTTGAGATTTTCCTGTTAATAGATTCGCACTGGAAAGAGGGGAAGCTGAGATGAGAAAGGCTCAGAGCAGGCTGCTGTCTTCCTTGTGGAGCAGCTCAATAACCACACTGCTGCCCAGCAGCACATCTCCTTTGGAATCAGTGCTTCCCAGGTCCCAAATCCAAGTGCCACCCACAAGTGCTCCCCATGCTGCTGGGGCTGGGAAGCTGTTCAGCTGCACAAAGCTTCAGCGTGAGCCCACATCTCATTGTGCTCAGCAGTTTCCAATCTTCTCAGCTTATGAACTCCCAGAAATTTTCCAAGTGCAGAGTAGACCCCTCTAATTGACTTCCAATGCATAGAAATGGCTTTTCTGAGCCATCTATTGCAAATGCTGTAACACTCAGCCATAGATCCCCAAGACCTACGCTGTTCCTTCGATCAGGATAAGGATAGCTGCCCTCTGCAGAGCAGTGCAGAAGTATCCAGCACAGTCTGCTACCATATATATCTAGCTCTCTATATACAGCTTTTTTCCTTTTAACCAGCTTGGAATTTAAAGAGTACTCTGCTTCCCTCTTCCTGAAAAGCATTTAAATGGGTGAAAAGTATTCCCAAGAGAGCTTTGGCCTTTGGAGGTTTCCCCTCTAGCCCAATATTTTTTTAATAATAGATCTTATTATCTCACCCTGTACTAATAGAGCTTTCCTGCTGCCTTGTGAGTGCTGCTTATTCTCATGAAACCCCCAGAAATTACTGTACTTGAAACCTCTCACCCTATACAAGCAATCCTAAGAATTGCTAGCCAAGGTGCAGTTCCAGTAGGTTGCAATCACTCAACTACTGTCATGCTAAAAATGTAGATACAACATGGCCTAGAGACAGCACACATCATTGCCTGTGTATTTAATCACTACTAAATGAAGGCAGAGGAGCTTGGGATTATTGGAGGGAAGGAACAATATATCAAACAGGGAGAAAGCAGGGGTTTATCTTAAGGTTATGGCAGCCTGTGCCTCCTGTTGCTGACTTTTCCAAGACCGTTCCCAAAGCCACAGCCATCTAACAGCCTCAGAAAGGAGCTCTGTAGCGTTTGCAAGGACTCAACTGGAGCAGAGGGAACCGCTTAGACATGCATTAAATGAAGGGAGCCCAGTTGGATGTACAGGTGGAGCCAGAAGAACTGCAAAAAATACAAGTTGTCCAAAGACAAAAATAACCAGACACTGCAAGTCTGCTGCCAGTAATGGAACAATAGTAAAGGAAAAAATAGTATGAGTCTAGGCTGCTAAATAGCTGGATGGTGGGAATATTTAATACTTATTTTCACTGGGGTCTTAAACTGTAAAACACAAACTTTTTATTGAGCATTACAGATTCTATATTAGCTTTTTTAACAGACTGTTTTTCTCACTTTAAATAGGAGCCCTGTAATATCTCTTTGTGCATTTAAAGAGTGAGTTTCAGGCACTGGGTGTCAGAAGGGCAGATGGTAATGGAAGCACAAATGCACAGTGCCAGTCCCTCTTGCAGCTTGCCAGCCAGATGCCCCACCTTGCACCAGCACATGGACTTCATGTCAGTGCAGGAATATCTCAAGAGTGGATTTGAGGTCAGTGGGAATCACCTCAAGGTTTTGAGTCCTGGCACTGCCACCGTATTTTGCAGATGTGAAAAGGAGTCAGGACTCAAAACCCCAATGGGTCCATCTTTGAGTTAACCTGTGCCTGCCTAACAGCCCATAAAGCTCACAAAGCATTCTGCCCTCTCTCCAGGTTTAACACCCAGTAAACTGCATTGTGTGTGCAGCTGCAGTGAGAACTGGAGCCAACATGCAAACAGAGACCTTCCACTGACTGCAATGGGCTTTGCATCACATTCTGGACACCTAAGATATTCAAGCAGCACGCCCAAATCCATAGCTTGCACACCTTGCTCCAAAGCACACCAGCATTTATTAGATCAGGTTGCACCTTTGGGTGAAAGCCACCATCCAAAGCTCTTCACTTCATTGTACTTCCATATTTCGTGTAGATTAGGTTAAACCAGCAGAACAAATTACACAGAGCCAAACCTCCAAACTGATTTCCAGAGGAATGATAACAATAATAACAGCAACAGTGAGTTCATGCTCACAGCTCTCATTCACACCTGGTGCTCTCTGCCTTCTTGGCATGAGAGGCAGCTTGAACAAAGGGACCAAGAAAACATCAACTACAGGCAGAGCGAGGCAAAGCAAATGAAAGACAGATGTAGGAAGGAAAGTGGGAACTTTCTGCTTTGATTTGCACATACCCATGTTTTTATTGTCCTAAGGAATATCAGTTTGTTGTCCTAATGATATCAGTTCTCCTGTCCTCTTGCATGACTTATGATGCACCTTTATTTCTACAGATGAAATCCATTGATTTTAATTATAACGTGATGGATACACAACCCAAGATAGCACTATGTGGGTGAATTATTTGAATAGCAAGGCAGTAGGGCCCTTTAGCTTTATGGAAATTGCTGCAGCTGTTTATCTTGGCAAGGACAGGTTTGTCCCCAGCTTCATCCTGTGCAAAGTCCTTCCACCCACTCAAGTTAACTTGTGCATTCACCTCATTTTTAATGGAAGCATTATCATCTTCTATTCGCACTGGCAGAAGAATCTCTCTCAGAAGAGGAAAAGACAGAAACACACACCTACCCAACCTTCTTGAACAACTGTCTCCATTCATATTGCAGGAAGCAAGCACTTCAAGGAATTTGCCAGAAATTGTTTTCCCTTAGCAATGGTCCAGACCAAAAGTGGATGCAGCGGTTGTGATATCATTGCTCAGGCAGAAGGATCTACTTGAAGACACATTAGTTCAGATAATGCGTGTACTGAAAGCACAATAGCAACAGTTGTATGCTGGACCAAGCTAGTTGTGTTTTCTGGCTGTGCACAAGTCAAGCATTGCCTTGAGGGCAGGATCCAACCCACGCAATGATTCCATCCTGCTGCTGCATTTCCTCCAGAGAGAAATGCAAATAGTTCAAGAAGATGCAAGTGTTTTTTTCTTGGCCCTACTTGTAGCCAATTCTGTTGAGTCAATGAACGCAAACAGAATTGGTCTGGAGACATTTATTTCCTGCTGCATATACAGAACTGTGGGTACAGATAGGACTTGGTTCTCTACCACTGTAGGTTTGATGATGACCCACCAATGCTTGTGCCCTTCATCATGACTGAGCAGTGCTCTATAGAGACATAGAAAGCCACATCACAATAAGCAAAGTTCTTGGTTTCTCTTCAGGATACCTCAAAATTCCTTGAAACCTCAACCTTTCTGTGTCATTGTTACCCAAGAGCAGTAACTCTAAGGGAGGTCAAAATAGCACTAAAATACTGGTGTTAATGCAAGACACAGACACAAGAACGCATACCAGTTTGGGAGACTCTATAGGTTCTGCTCAAGCCTACTGCTGGCAGCATGCTATCTCAGCATGCAGTCAAGAGGAATAATAAAACTCTAGCCCTTCAGAGGCAGAGAAGAAGAGAAAAACACTCATAAGTATGCTGGTTTATGTTTCTTTTGAACTTTGAAAATAATTTTTCTCTCTTGCCTAGATATTAGTCACAGAAGCACATGCTATCGTATCTGGGAAAAAAGTTGGATGGATGGAAATGATCTTCGGAGAGAAGGAAGGGAGCAGCCACGTATTTCTGTGTGTGTCTTTTTCACTTTACCCTTTCTCTGAACCAGGATGTACAAAGAAAAGAGTAGGGGGGGAAAAAAAAAAGGTCACAGGCTTGGGTTTAGCCTAAAGCCAGTGGGAGACTTTCCATAGCTGTCTGTGGGTTCAGAGAGCTGACCTCATAGCTCCACAGCCTCCCTATGCTCCCACCCTTCAAGAAGCTTGATTTCTCCCATAGGCATCAGAGAAACGGTTTTCAACAGATTTTTCCAGTCTCAAAATGAAAGGGAAAAAAAAGAGGCACT